TAGGTATACAATCTTCTGTGTTGCTATAACACGTGGATTTACTCTATAATTATGGTTACTGTTTGTATATAAGAAGGCTACTGATTTTCATATGTGCATTTTTTATCCTGCTATTTCACTGAATTCTTTCTTTTTTTTTTTGAGGTAGATTAGCCCTGAGCTAACTACTGCCAGTCCTCCTCATTTTGCTGAGGAAGGCTGGCCCTGAGCTAACATCCGTGCCCATCTTCTTCTACTTTATATGTGGGATGCCCACCACAGCATGGCGTGCCAAGTGGTGCCATGTCCACACCCAGGATCCGAATTGGCGAACCCCGGGCCGCTGAGAAGCGGAGAGTGTGAACTTAACTGCTGTGCCACTGGGCCGGCCCCCCACTGAATTCTTTTATTGTTTGAATTTATTATTGATATTTTGGAATTTTCTAGGTATTCTCATGTCATCCTCAAATAGAGATAGTTTTACTTCTTTATTTCCTTTGATTCATTCTCATTTTATTGACCTAATTGACCAATTTCCAAATATTTATAAAAATTGATAATGCCTGGTGTCAGTAAATACTTGTAGGATAAGCATTTTCAATCCTGTTGGCGTGAATGTAAATCGACAGTAGCTGTTGGAAGATAATCACCAATGTTGATCAAGAGGTTTAAGAGATCATCACACATTTATTCATTAATTTCACTTTTGGGGATTTATCTTAAAAAATCAGAACAGACTAACGATTTGTGAAAATTAAGTTCATATTTTTACAATGGCAAGTACTTGGAAAAAACTAAAATGTTTAATATTTGGGAAGACCCTCTAAAGTTATGGTCTATACAAATGAAGCAATATTTGTACAATCATTCTAACTAAATCATCTTTTAAAATAATATTTCCTAGAAGATGTTCCACAGAATGCTTGTCAAGAGACACATGCAGGTGGAGGGTGGCATAGCCAAAAACATTTGGGAAACAAATGTCCCAGTGGAGAATCACAATGCAAATTAGCTTTGAAAAGAGAGAGGTACTACAATAAATAAACCTGTTTAACCACACTTAATCTGATCTCTCAGATGCATTCGACTACAGAATCTTTGTTTTTCAAAGACCACGTTATCACAGAATCTTTGTTTTTCAAGTAACACATATTTCACAAAATACACTTTATGAAAAATTGCCTTAATGAAAATTTGATTACAAGGGAAAAATGTGCATGCTATTTGTTAAATTGAAAAAGCAGAATACAAAAGAACAATATTGTCTTACTACTTGAAAACGTGTTTATATATGGACATGTGCAAGTATACACATAAAAATTTTAGCTGACTATTCACTGAACAGTGGGCTCATATTACATTTACATGTTTATATTAGGTACTTCTTAATTTACATATACTTATTTTTTCTAATGAGAATACGCATTTTTCTGATTGGATAAAATTTTAAGTACTAAATTAAAATATACTTTTCAGAGTTCTTCAAAATTTATAAAGTGAACAAGCATTCCTTATTTCTAGGGCAGGGGAGAGAAGAAATTGGTTATTGGAGCAAGTCCTGAGACTGTCTAAAGATGAAGGGAAATTATTTTTAAAAAACTGAAAATGACATGGGGCTGGCCCCATGGTCGAGTGGTTAAGTTCGCGCGCTCTGCTGCAGGCGGCCCAATGTTACGTTGGTTTGAATCCTGGGTGCGGACATGGCACTGCTCATCAAACCACGCTGAGGCAGCATCCCACATGCCACAACTAGAATGACCCACAACGAAGAATATACAACTATGTACCGGGACGGTTGGGGAGAAAAAGGAAAAAAATAAAATCTAAAATAACTGAAAATGACAAAGTAGAAACTTGCTATTCAAATGCAGGCACAATCTAGTTGTAATTAATTAAACTATGACTTAAAAAGTACTGACAGCAAATGACTTATCTTAATGAAAAAGGTGAGTCTTTGTTTATCTTTTTATTAACTTATCTTCTATTAATTAAGTTTTTGGCATTTTTTAAATGGTGCCTTGGCTCATAGAAACCCAGATTTTCTTTGATTGTAACCCTCAGAATGGCACGGATAAAGCCAAGTTGAATAAAGGTTTGTTGAGAGTTTAATTCCTTCTTTGCAAAAATAACAATAAGAACATGAAAATAACTTGCAAATAGAAAAATAATCCATGGGGCTTCTGCATGAGAAAAATTCAGAGGACCAGTATTTTTACCACAGCAATTCAGGTCACAAGAAAGGCCTGTACTTTACTGCTCAGGAACACTTGCATAAATCTCTCAGCTCAGAACATTTGTACTTTATAGTAGTGAAAACTCACATATCGTAATAACTCATTTCCCATGAGAAAACAATTTTTCAGTTCTCACCCATCGTTTTAAATTTAAATGTAGTACCTGTTTAAGCAATATCCTTCTGTGTATGAACCAGGAGTTTTTGTTAAAGCTCTGGTACTTCTGCAGTATTTCTTAGAGGCATGAGGTGGGGGGGGAGGAGGATGACTATGATGAAATATTAATGAAACATTAATTGAGGTCTTCCATGTGCTGTATACTCTTTTAATGGCTTTACATGCATTAACTTATTGAATCTTCACAAATTCGTTGTGAGGAAGGAGCTGCCATTATCTGAGCTTTACTGAGAAGAAAACAGCCTTGCCCAAGATCACACAACTAGGAAGTGGCAGAGCGCCAGCCTGAACTCTTAACGTGAACCTCACATAGTGAAGAACGCGGTGGCGCCCTGACCTGCCTACCTGAATATCTTGAAACTATAGAACCGCCTTTAACACAAAAAAGCTTTTTTAGTGAGAATTTTTAAACAAGAGAAATAGAAATAAATGAAGTGCAAGTAATTTTAGCAAGATATTTATACTCAGACCATTTGGTCTTTGGTCTTTGGTCTTTGGTCTTTGTCCAGAGTATGCTTTAGTTTATATACTATTTGAAATGTGTCTGAAAATACACACACACATACATATAAACACACACATATATAATATACATACCATGTATTAACCCATAGTAATTACAGTCACCAGTAAACTAAGAATTAATTAACATTAATCCTTAATTAATACATATGATTATATGCTATGAATATGTAGTTGATAGATTCTTATTTTACTGGCAACTGTAATTACTAGAATTCACTTTTGCTGTCTAATATTTAGAGTACTTAAGAATAAATGTTATGCTCCTAGGGCTCAAAACGTAGATGGTTCTTCAATTCATTTAGTGTGTCTGGATTTACATATAACAAGAAAAATAGCAACTCAAGGTAGTACTTTCTAAGCCCCAAATAGATGTGCTGTGTGGTAGAGAGGAGACCTGGAAACGTTTAGAGAAGGTTTTGTAGGAGTTACAGAATTGGACTTCTTCTTGAAGCCCTTAAAGGAGGGAACATACAAGAAGAAAATAAGTTTATAGAGGATGGCATGTCAATGTTATAGTGGTAGAAGTCTGCAAGGAATTGTGAAAATGAGACAAATGTGGCTTATCTGGAACTTGTACAGTTGCTTAGTCAAGGAGTTAGTATTTTTTGGCACAGAGGGTTGATGTGGATGCTATGCACAGAGTAAAATTCAGCTGATATCTTTGTATTTACCACAGTATAATCAATCAGACGGTGTTCTCATGCCTAACTGATTATCTTGCCTCTCTCTTAGGTTTGGAATCTCTGTTCTCCTCTATCCTGTCAAGGTCATCCTGTTTTGAGGTTCTGTGGACGCTTTCTCCATCATGTCTCCCAGATCTTCCTTTCTATTTACACTGGGGTTTTTTTATGCTAGTGTGGCTCTGTATTACCTTAAAACTCTATAGATTACACAAAGCTACTGTTTTGTCAACTTGTATTCTTCAGGTTTCTTTAAGTGAGTAAGCTTAAGTTAAAAAGGAGAGTTTATTGGCGTTTGTAACTAACCTGATAAGAAGGGGTAAAACTTGTCTCAGGTACAACTGAATCCAAGGACTTGCAGGCTATCAAGTCTCTCATTCCCATTTCTAATTTCCCCTCTCAGTTGGCTTCATCCTTGTCGTCTGCACACAAGTTTTCTGTGTGTGACAAGGGGCAGAGTCTTAGGCTACTTCATATTCACATTCCTCCAGGGTAGTGATATAAGAGGAAAGAGACTCTTTCCTGCCAGTTCTAGTCAGAAAATAACCTGGCTAAATGATGCGGTTGACCCCGCTTTGGTCAAGAGATCACTGCCAGAGAAATTGCTATAGTCAGGGGGATGGGGTCATAGCATTGGGGCTTTCATCAGACCCAGTCATTGGGTGAGGAGGAGTAAAAAATAGAGAATTACATTTCTGAGAAGACAAAAAATTAATAATAAATAGCCACTGCCCTCTTTGATCTCTGAGTAGTAGTCTTTAAATATATCTTCAGCATGGTACTCCCATGTTCAAATTGAAATATTCTTCCAGAATTGCCATTTGTTTTCAGTGGGTATTCTATAATGTCCCCTCTCATGATTTTCAGTTTGTTAATCTCATTTGTTGTAAGTTCAAAACCAGACTCTGATTTACTTAGCTAGGTGATCTTAGGCAATTTATTTATCCTTTCTAACATTCAATTTTCTCATCTCTAAACTAGGGATACTAATTGTACCAACCTCATGAGTTGATTGTAAGAATTCAGTAAACTCAGAAAGTATATGAAAAGCACACATTATAGGGACTGTCTGATAGTAAATAGTCAATGACTATTTATTTAAAAAAATGAATGGATAGTTAAAATATCCGAGACAGAATTTCTAATTCTTATTTATTCTATGTTTTCTCATACAGATCTTTCCACCTAGAAGTCCCTATTTTCTTGTGTTTTTCAGGTCCACCAGTTTCAAGATTTGACTAAAATTTATTTCTCTGACTCCAACTTTAGTTTTTTACTGCTCCATTTTGTGTCCTATTCTCTAAACCACCCTACAGATGGCTTTGCATTTATATAAATAAATAATACATCAAAACTAATTAATTTTTATGTATTCATAAGAAAATGAAAAAATGTGATTTTTTAAAAAAATTCAGGATAAGATTTGACACTTGAATCCTGTATTTACCTGTACATCTGGATTTACATCCCTTGTTCCTTGGTGTAATTATTTGTAGCCTGAAAGTTGCATGCTGCATTTAAAAAAACAGAAGATTAGGAGCACAACCGCTATTGTCCTTCTCAAAGGGTATGGATAAGATACAGCTAGCAAAAAAAAAATGACAAGCTTTTTAATAGAATTTTTATAAAGTATTCACTTTGTTCTGTCTTCACAATTGTAGGACTGTAATTTTTGCTTAGAAAATCCTTTTTTTCTTGATATTTATAATGTAATGGGCTTTGGGCACTTAAAAATATCTGGGTCTTTGACCAACAATAGAAAATTCCCTACTTCAACCATCTTCTTTAGGATTCTTTAGCAATTCCCCAGTTTGTTCACTGATTAGTGTTGGAAGAGTTCATGAAAAACATTTGTTGGAAGTGTCTGCTCACTTGAAGTGAAACTAAGGGCCACTAAGCCTGATCCTCCCACGTGGCTCTTGTGCAGCCCATGCCCATTCCAGGAGACTCCTGTTTCTGAGTTCCAGTCAAAGACTGGCAGTGGCTTCTGGGCACAGTGAGCTCAGTAGCGTTGTGATTGGTACCAGAGGTCAGAAATGGTGGTGGTCATGGGAGAAGGAAGGGATGGGGATGAGGACATGGGAAGTTCTTGATTCTTTGAAATGGGATTAAAAAACTGTTAAATGCATACTATGTGAGAAAATACTCTGAATATACTAACATGCTATGTAAATTCCCATTACCCTGTTTCTGGGAAAGCCCCTTCTCCTACACACAGCTAGCAATAAATGGGGACCTCAGTCCCTTAACCACAGGAATTGAATTCTGTCAACAACCTGAGTGATCTTGGAAGAGGATCCTGAGTTCTAAATGAGAATGCAGCCCATCCAACACCTTGATTTCACCCTTGCGAATCCCTGAGCAGAGAATCTAGCTACAATGTTCCCAAACTCCTTGCCCATAAAGACAATAAGATAATACATTTCTGTTGTTTTGAGCTAAGTTTGTGGTAATTGGTTATGCAGCATTAAAAACAAATATACGTTTCAAACTAGAATTTTATTTTAAACTAGAATTTTAAACTAGAATTAATCCTTATTTTCAACGTCTTTGTACCTTTCAGAGCACCTAGCTTAGTACCCTCTACAAAGCAAGCATGCAAAATTAAGATTTGCTGGTGGATGAACTTGATTAACATAATTATCCTGAAAATTTCCTCCCAATTTAGTCTTTTTTCTCCAACTAGAAAAGTCCTTAAACTTTTTTCTGGATATGTAGAAAATATCATTCTACCTTTTTTTCCTGGAAAATGTCTCCTCTCACTAGCCTGTCAAGCGCCTCTGTGTTGACCCAAACCAAATAAGTAATTGATATAGATCAAAAGATACTTTGGAGAGAAGACCGTGATATTTGGGGAGAATTGAGTTGGGTAGCCGCAATCATAGTCTATCTACTTAAATTATTAAATTATAGAATAATGACATGTGAAATTTGGTATAAATGGGTCAGAAGTTTACCTTTTTTCCTGATGTTTTCTAAGTAAGTTCATGTATATTGAAAGTAATAATAGCAATAATAGCAATAGCTACCCCATATCAATCATCAGGTTTAGATATCAATACATCATTTTCTTCTCTAAATACTTTATTCTTGTAAGTTAATTAACCAAGTTTAAGAGTTTTGACTTGCATAGGATGTGTTATTACCTCAAAAAACTTTTCAAAATTGATTTAATGCTGCCAGATTAATCTTCCTTGAGATACTCTCAGAGCCTGTTAGTCATCTACCAAGGAAACTTCAGTGGCTCCCCATTGCTAACCAACCAAATTCCAACAACTTATTGTGGCCATTCAGGGTCTTCTATGACCTCACTCCAAGGTGTATCTCTTGTTACATTTCCTGCTGTGCATCAATATCTACTCTGAGTTCAGTCAAACTTGTATGGATAACGCCCACTACAGCCAAGTTTTCCTGGCTCCCTGGTTTTCTGATTTAATTCTGGCCACCTGCAAGGCGCTCCTCCATCTCCATTTGTCAAGGTAGCATTTTCTCTTCAATTTCATACATCAGCTTCTCTAGCAAGACTTCCTTTAATTCCACAATCAGACGTGCTGTCTCCTTTATTTGGCAAATGTCTTATGGAACGTATCACATTTATGTTTATATTTTATTCTTTTCTTTCTTCCGTTCTTCCTCACAGACTACATATTTCTTAAGCTAGAGAAACATTGCTCATATGGAAATTCAGTAAAGGATCTGATATTATTAGTTATGGTATGTGCGTTAATTCAGTGTAAATTCTCTTCTAAAAAACTTTGAATTTCCTTCCCTAATTGCTTGATGAAAGGCAAACAAATGGAAATGTTATTTTTCAGGTTTGAGGGTCTTACCTCACATTCCTAAACATTCGCCTCTCAGTTTTCCCTTAGTCTTCCATGTGTAAGGCTAGGAAGGGTTGTGATCCATATAATGATGACACAGCTGAAAAGAGGGAACTAAGGGAAATGGAGCTTGTTTAGTGGGATAAGGATCAATTCTGTCATTGAGCTGTAGTATGAGCCAGGTGAAAATCTTTGCTCTCAAGAAGCTTAGATGCCGGTCGGAAGCAATAAGGCATAAACATAATGTATTATATCATCTATTGGACAGTGCTAGAAGTGCTACGAAAACATAGATAAAGGTAAAAATAATTGGTTGTGGCAGAAGGTGAGGGAAAGTAGGCCTCAGTGAAAAGGTGAGAGCTGAGCAAGAAGCATTCTTCCTTACTTGCTTGCAGATTATATATTTTGGGGGATACTGCTTCTCTATTGATAAAAGAAAAAAACCCTTGACTTCTTAGCTTTGCTTTGATTAAGGGTAATGATAGACAATTTGAAACAGTTTGGCATTCCCTGTCACTCAAATAAATTTAGAATTTGAGTCATTGCATTCTGGCGGTATATTCTTTCAAAGGCTAAGTGAGAAGCATCATGTTATGGACTGAGTTGTGTCCCCTTCTAATTCACATATTGAAGTCCCCTGCACCTCAGAATGTGACTATATTTGGAGATAGAGGCTTTAAAAAGGTAATTAAGGAAAAATGAGGTCATATGGTGGGCCTTAATCCAATATGACTGTTATCTTTACACAAAAAGGAGATTAGGGCACAGACAACACAGATTGAAGGGCACCCATGTGAGGACAAAGTGAAAAGGTGGCCATCTGTAAGCACCTGAGTCTTAGACTTCTAGACTCTAGAACTGTGAGAAAACAAATTTCTGTTGTCTGTGGTATTTTCTTATGACAGCCCTAGCAAATCGATACATGTGATTATAAACCAGTATTGAAAAAAGAGACCATAAAATTCTTAGAGTCTTGAAATATGCAGAAGTTCATATTGGTTATGAAATTTAGTCTGTATTGTCCTCTAACAGCTGCTCTGTGGAAAGATATAGCCTTGGAAATTGAAGATATCATGCCAGTGTGGCAGCCAGCCTCCAAAATGGCTTGCCTCTTGGTATTTATGCTTTATGTAAGTTTTAATCATAGCTTTCCTGTGTGACCAATAGACTACTGCAGCAGTGACAGTGTATCATTCCTAGGCTAGGTCCTATCAGATATTATGGCTTCTGGCTTGCTCTTTCTTGATCACTGGCTCTGGGGGAAGAGAGGTACAATGTTACACTTAAGCAGTCCTACGAGAGGTCTAAATGGTGAAGAAATGAGGACTCCTGCTAACAGCCAGTGTGAACCATCTTGGAATAGGTCCTCCAACTCCAGTCAAGCCTTCAAACAGCAGCAGCCCTGGTTGACATCCTGACTTCCATCTCATGAAAAACCTCTAGGCAGAGCATTCAGTTAATCCATTCTGACATATGTGATCCCAAAAAACTCTTAGGTAATAAATATTTATTGATGTTTTAACTCTCTAAGTTTTGAGGTAACTTGTTGTGGCAATAAGTAACTAAAATACCAGGGATGAAGTCCAGCATTTTTGCTATGCAATGTATAGCTATAATCAGTTTTTATGAGTTTATCTGAAAATATAAGGAGTAGAAAAGCTTATATCTAGTTCTTACATTCTCAAACTAATTTCACTAATATCCTTACCTAGTTTGGCTCACCACAGTTGCTCTATTGTCCAAGTGGTCAAACTTTCAAACAGATCTCATTTTTGATGTCATTTTTATTGTTATTATTTTTTTTAGGATCCTTTGCTTGTTAGTCAAATCTCTAATCTTTACAAAATTTGGAGAGGTGGTTTATGTAACTTGTCACACTAATTCTGCTGATTTCCAATTAGAATCGGTTTCAAAGAGCGTTGTCTCATTGAGAGCTAGAAGATGAAAGTAAGGCAGCAACCATTTTGCAGCATACACCCACTTTCTCCTAGTTATTATTTTTTCCAGCTTTATTGAGATATAATTGACATACATCACTATATAACTGTAAAGTATATAGAATAATGGCTTGACTTACAAATATTGTGAAATGATTACTGCTATAAGTTTAGATAGCACCAATCATCTCATATAGATAGAATAAAAAGCGTAGGCAAAAACTGAAAAGAAAGAAAACAAATTTTTCCTTGTGATGAGAACTCAGAATTTACTCTTAACAACTTTCATATGTATCATATGTCAGTTTTAAGCATAGTCATCATGCTGTACATTACATCCCTAGTACTTCTTGCAACTGGAAGTTGGTACCTTTTTACCACCTTTCTCCTATTCCTTCTTCCCCCAGCCCTGCTTCTGGTAAGTGCAAATCTGATCCCTTTTGCTATGAGTTTGCTTTTTTTTAGATTCCACGTATAAGCGAGATCATACAGTATTTGTCTTTCTCTGTCTGACTTAGATCACTTAGCATAATGCCCTCAAAGTCTATCTATTGTTGTCACAAATAGCTTCCATGTGCTGCATGGTTCCATGTTTTATGGCTGAATAATATTCCATTGTATACTGACCACAACTATTTTATCCATTCATCTGTTGATGCACATAGGTTGTTTCCATGTCATGGCTATTGTAAATAATGCTGCTATGAACATGGGGGTGCAGATATTTTTTCAAGTTAAGAATTTTTGTTTCCTTTGGATATATTCTCAGAAGTGGAATTGCTGGATCATATGGTAGTTCTATTTTTAATTTTTTGAGAATCCTCCATACTGTTTTCAATAGTGGCTATACAAGTTGACAATCCAGCAACAGTGCCAAGGGTTCCCTTTTCTCCACATACTCTCTAGCATTTGTTATCTCTTGTCTTTTTGGTGATGGCTATTCTAACAGGCATGAGGTGATATCTCGTTGTGATTTTTGTTTGCATTTCCCTAATGATTAGTGATGTAGACCATCTTTTCCTGTGCCTATTGGACTTTCATATATGTTCTTTGGTGAAATGTCTATTCAGATCTTTTGCCCATGTTTTAATTGGATTATTTGGGGGTTTTTTGCCATTGAATTGTATGAATTCTTTATATAGTTTGGATATTAACCCCTTATCAGATATATGGTTTGCAAATATTTTTTCCCCATTCTATAGGTTGTCTTTTCAGTTTGTTAACTGTATCTTTTGCTATGTAGAAGCTTTTTATTTTGACGCAGTCCCACTTCTTTACTTCTGATTTAGGTGTTTTAGGTGTCATATCCAAAAAATTATCACCAAGACCCATGTCAAGGAGTTTTTTCCTATTTTTTTTTTAGGAGTTTCAAGGGTTCAGTTCTTACATTTAAGTCTTGAATCCATTTCAAGTTAATTTTTGAGAGTGGTGTAACATAGGAGTCTAGTTTCATTCTTTTACATGTGAATATCCAATTTTCACAGCACCATTTATTGAGGAGAGGGCTGTTTTTCCTTTGAGTATCCTTCACTCTCTTGTCAAATATCAGTTGACCATATATGCTTGGGTTTGTTTCTGGACTCTCAATTCTGTTCTGTTCATCTGTTTGTCTATTTTTATGCCAGTACCATATTGTTTTGATTACAATAGCTCTATAGTGTAACTTGAAATCATGAATGGTGATGCCTCCCACTTTGCTCTTCTTTCTCAGAATTGCTCTGATTTTCAGGGTCTTTTGTTGTTCCATATAAATTTTAGGATTGTTTTTCTACTTCTGTAAAAATTGCCAGAGAAATCTTGAAAGGGATTGCATTGAATCCATAGAGGGATTTTGATAATATGGACATTTTAACAATATTATTCTTTGAGTCCATGAATATGGGATATCTTTCCATTTATTTGTTTCTTCTTTGATTTCTGTCATTAATGTCTTATAGTTTTCAGAGTCGAGTTCTTTCACCTCCTTGGTTAAGTTTGTTCCTAAGTAATTTATTGTTTTGTTTTCTTTTTTAAAGATTGGCACCTGAACTAACATCTGTTGCCAATCTTCTTTTTTTATTTCCTCCTTCTTCTTCTCCCCAAAGACCCCCAGTACATAGTTGTATATTCTAGTTGTGAGTGCCTCTGCTTGTGCTATGTGGGGTGCTGCCTCAGCACGGCCTGATGAGAAGTGTCATGTCAGCACCCAGGATCAAAACCAGCAAATCCCTGGGCCACCAAAGCAGAGTGTGTGAACTTAACCCCTCAGCCATGGGGCCGGCCCCATATTGTTTTGATGCTATTGTAAATGGGATCACTATATCTTTTTTGAGATAATTTGTTGTTAGTGTATAGAAACACTACTGATTTTTTTTTTTTTTTTGAGGAAGAATAGCCCTGAGCTAACATCTGTGCCCATCTTCCTCTATTTTATATGTGGGATACCTGACACAGCATGCCTTGATAAGCCATGCATAGATCTGTGCCTGGGATCCGACCTGGCAAACCTTGGGCTGCTGAAGCAAAGTGCACAAACTTAACCACTATGCCACCAGGTTGACCCCATAGATACTACTGATTTTTATATGTTTGTATTTTTGTACTTTGCAACTTTACTGAATTTGTTCATAAGATCTAACAGTTTTTTTGGTGGAGTCTTTAGGATATTCTATATATAAAATCATGCCATCTGCAAATAGAGATAATTTTTCTTTCTTTCCCATTCTGATGCCTATTTCCTTT